TGTTAGTGCTTCGGAAGTATGAGCTGGATCCATCTTATGTATGGGATTGGACCGACTTAGAGGTTGATGAGGATATCTCATATGAGGAGAGACTGGTGAGGGTTTTGGATAGGCGAGATCAAGTCTTGCGAGGCAAGACGATACCCTTGGTAAAAGTTTTGTGGAAACATCACGGGGTTGAGGAAGCCACTTGGGAACGTGAGTTGGATGTCTGTGAGAAATATCCGGGCTTGTTTGTTAATGTTTAACCATGTATTGGAAATTTTGTTGTATTGATAAACTTTAAGAATATTGAATATGTCTTAAGTTGTAAAACATTGTATATGTTTTGGTTTATGAAAATATTGTGAAGGTTGAGTATGCCTTGAGAATGGAAATTTATTTTAACATTGTGTATGTTAAATACGTTGTAGAAATGCAAGTATGTTCTTAACGTTGCATATATTTTGGAATTGTGGATTATGATATTGGAAATTGTTAGATTTTAGCAAAATGCATGTCGATAATGCATGTTGTAACATTTGTTGTAATTTGCCTCTTAAAAAGAGATGGGATGACCGGTAATGGGTCAAGATGTTGAATATGGAATTGTAATGTTGTTGAGAATTGAAAATTCTTGTTTTTTTGAAACTCGTATCTAATTTCGGGGACGAAATTTTTTAAGGGGGGAGGTTATAGCGATCCCGGTTTTTCCTTCATTGTTTAATTGTATTTCGGACTCAGTTCCGTGGATGTTGGTTGTTGTTTTATTCTCGTTTTTATCCGTTACTCTTTGTGTTTGAGTCTTGGGTTGTGTTGGGCAGGTTGGGAACAGGTTGGTTGTGTTTAGAAACAAAAAGTTGAACCCAGATTTTGGCCTTCACGCTCGAGCGAGGCTTTTGACGCTCGAGCAGGCCCTTTGTTTTTTCTTCTCCGCTCGAGCGGGCATTTTGACGCTCGAGCGTGATTATTCACCTCCCCGTATTTTGTTCTGCAGGTCATCGGACGCTCGAGCGTCCACTTTCACGCTCGAGCGGAGACCATCGACTGCAAAACTTCTGAAAGTATGTATGCAGTGCTCGAGCGGCGCTTTTGACGCTCGAGCGTAAGTTTGTGTCTGACGCTCGAGCGGGGCTTTCCATGCTCGAGCGTACCTGTTTGTATAGCAGTCCGTGAAATCACTTTTTGGATCACTTTTTTGACTTTCTCTCTCTCTCTCTTACTTTTCAAAACCCAAACTTGAGAGCCTCTTACTCTAGACTTCAACTTCTCTCTAAGAAATCATCTAGCTTGAGTGATCTTGTCCCTTAGTTCCTTTGCAAAATGTGTAGAGCTTGGCTCGGGCTACATTTCAATCCGAAATTTTTGGGTTTTGGAGCATTTTGAATTTCTTCATCATCACCTTTGGGTCTCTCCATTTGAGATAGGGATAATTACTCATTTTTATGATCTTTAACATAGATGTTGGGCATTTTATATAAATGGTTTGATTTGTGAAGTTAGGGTTTGAGGTTTGAAATATTGAAAAGAGGGGTTTTGTTCCTTTTGAACTATATATGTGTATGTGGGTCTTAAAATGAGGTTTTGAACGTTTATTAATGATATTTGGACCTTTGGGTCAATATTGGGAAAATGAGAAAAATGCCATATTTGGGTTTTATTGGGTCATTAGTGTAATTAATGACTTTCATTGTGAAATAATGAAATTGGCTTGGAAATAGTGAAATTGAGAAGTTATGAGAAAGAATGGTGGAATTGGATTGATTAATTACTCACTTTTGAAAATGTTGTTACTTTATCTGTTGATGCATTTACTATCTGTTTATAAATAATTGCTTTGGGCTATCGATGGAGGATAGTCTTGATTGTTGTAGACACTGCATGATGATTAGGTAAACTAAAACTAATCACGTTGAATATGTCATTGAATGTGACGGTTGGAGTAATACATCGAGTATATGTATTGATTGATCTTGTATATGATAAGTGTTTATATACATTGTAATTTGTGGAAGGAGATAGGGGATGTACTCCACGGTTTGGGAGGAGATAGGGGATGGACTCCATTGATACAGCAAATTTCTGTATCATTTGTGAAGTATGGAAGTGTTTTATTATGAGTTATTATCTTATTTGAAATTGAAGTATTGTTGATATGAGTTGTTAACTCATTTGAAAAGTAAGTGTTTTGATATGAGTTAAAGTCTCATTAAATTGTTTGGTCAGGTTCTGAGCCATGTTCATAAATTGAAAATTGGTTAAGTAAAGGAAAGTGGAATGAAACATGGACATATTTGTCATGGAACTGGGTAATGTTGTAAGTTGATTTATAAGTGGTAACATTTATCAAATGCTAATGTTTTAGTTATTGCTCATATTATGTTTAGCATATCTCTACTGGGCGTTGGCTCACCCTATATGGGACATCATTTTCAGGTACAGGTGATATGCCGCCTCCAAGGATGTAGCTTGGGAGGTTGTAAAAGCTGAAGGCTTCCTTTTTGTGATTATTTTGTGTATTACATGTAAATCAAGCCTAGGGCTTATTTTGTGTTTTGAGTTAGTACTCTCTTTTTGTAACCAAGTGTTGATTTGGAAAGTTATAAGCCCGCAGGGTATTAACTTTTGATGTCAACATGTAATACTTTTGTAATGAATACTCTGATAAATAGAATTATGTTTTATTCTCCTAAGTTTATGGATGTCTTGAATGTATGATTTATGGGTTTATTTTGAGGGTGTTACAAACTATATATTTTTAAAAATAAATCAATTATTGTTTTAAAGACAAATACAATAAAATAAAATAAAATAAAAATTACAATTATCTAATCGACATAATTTTTTTTAAAAAAATATACATGAGTATTTTTACAAAAATAAATGATTTAAATTATCAAAATAAGACTAATAATAAAATCATAAATCCATTAATTCTTCCATATTCAAATTTAAACTTGAAAGTCTATACCCGATGAGTGCTTTATAGTAGACAATGTAATTGAAGAATGGAATTCAATTCCGTGGATATGACTTTCAATTCTCGAGTCAGAATATGGAAAACATCCAATGCATAAACATGCTCTTATCCCATCGTCCAAGGCAGAGAATTATTCGTTGCTTAAAGAAAAAATTTTAATTAGTTGTGGGCATCACATGTATGTGACAGGTGGTTCCTCACATTAATTAAAATGTGCCTGCTAAGTTAGATGTCAATGGACTGTGGCAAGTCAGCAACCAACAATTAGCTCAAATTCATTTAAAAAAACCTCACATAAATGGATGGACCTTAACGCTGTATTTGGTTAAAAAATTTGAGAAAAAATTTTAAAAAGATAAAAAAAAATAGATAAAATATGAATAAAATGTACTTATATTTCATATAATTTTACACTTTTTCATTTTTTCTCAAATCTTCTAATCAAACACAACATAAATACCTTAAACTTCTCCATCTTTATCATGAATGCGCTCCAAAATTTAAAATTTTAAACTTTTGAATTGAACTAAACAAAATTTGAAGAAAATGATACTAGTAAATATAAAATCCAACAAAAAAAAAGGACTTATTTGAAGATCATTCTCTTTGATTTGGGATAAACAAATTTTTGGGATAAATAAATTCTCTCTGCTCCCTCAGCTTCTACAGGCCAAAATTCAAAAATTAGCTTCTAATCTATATTTTAAATCACATCAATTTTTTACCTTTTTACACATTTTTTTTTAAAAAAAAATAAAAATAATCAAAAAATTAATTTCTAACTAACTTTCCAAAACAACCCACAATCGGCCATGAGCACTACCGTCAAAAGCCAACTTCTCCGCCTATTAATTCGTGCACGCAGCACACGTAGAGAAAGATGCAGGCCGAGTTGGGGCGGTACTTTGATGAATTGATTTGTTATATTATAGCTTGTGCAAGAGTTTTGAAGACACAGACTAAGGCCCATTTTGGCAAGAAAAAACAAAAAAACAAAACAAAAAATACCCTCTTTTTCTAATTTTTTTTTATCTTTAGTATTTTTTTTTTAAATTATGTCAATTTTTATTTATTTATTTTTTTTTTAGCCTGTCTTGTTGGGACAAATCTAAAAAGTATATTTTTTGTAAAAGTTTTCAGAAAAAAATTATATAAAAGATGAAAATAAGTCAAAAAAGATTGTTTATTTTGATTTTTTTTTTGTCTTTTCTACATTTTTTGATTTTTTTAAAAAATTATAATTTTTTGATTCGTCTTATCAAGTTGAAACAAAAAACCTAAAGCTTTTTGAATTTTTTTTAAAAAAAAATTCACTAAAGACAAAAATAAACCAAAAGAAAAAAGCCAGAAATGCAATACTCAAAATAGTGTTTGGTTGGGAGTTTTAGAGAGGGATTTTGAAAGAGAAAAGAAAAAAAGTCCGTGAAATGTAGGTTTATTTTATTCACATTTCACCTAACTTTTTCATTTCTTTTTCCAAATTCTTTCTCAAATTTCCTAACCAAACACATCGTAAGTGGAGTATTGTAATGCCCTCAAAATAATACATAATCCCAACATCCAACAATTCTATATACCTGATAGATAAGTCACATTTCCATACATACATCAGAGTTAATGTTACAAAAGAGTATTTCATATTTTTTGATTTTTTTAAAAAAATTATAATTTTTTGATTCGTCTTATCAAGTTGAAACAAAAAACCTAAAGCTTTTTAAATTTTTTTTAAAAAAAAATTCACTAAAGACAAAAATAAACCAAAAGAAAAAAGCCAGAAATGCAATACTCAAAATAGTGTTTGGTTGGGAGTTTTAGAGAGGGATTTTGAAAGAGAAAAGAAAAAAAGTCCGTGAAATGTAGGTTTATTTTATTCACATTTCACCTAACTTTTTCATTTCTTTTTCCAAATTCTTTCTCAAATTTCCTAACCAAACACATCGTAAGTGGAGTATTGTAATGCCCTCAAAATAATACATAATCCCAACATCCAACAATTCTATATACCTGATAGATAAGTCACATTTCCATACATACATCAGAGTTAATGTTACAAAAAAGTATTTCATATAAGTTACTAATGTTTACAAAGATAATAGAATGCCCTGTGGGCTTACATCTTTTCAAGTTGCTACTTAGTTACACAAAAAAAGAGTTTTAACTATTTTACAAATAAAGCCCTCGGCTTGCATTTACATGTAATCAACCAAACAAATAACAAGCAGAGCCTTCAACTCCTAAAACCTCCCAAGCAAAAATCTTGAACTTGGCACGTCTTCTGTACCTGAAAATGTTGTCCCTAGTAAGGTGAGCCAAAGCCCAGTAGAGATAAACTAAACCCAATATGAGAAATAACTAAAACATTATCACTTGATAAAAGACTAACACGTGTGGACCAACTCACACCCTTCTCATACCCCAACAACAATTACAACCAGGTTTCAATCCACTTCCCTTATTTATCCAATTAAATTACTAAGTATGGTTCATTATCTAACCAAACAATTTAAACGAGACTGCAACTCGACTTATTAATACTTCCGTTATCCATAACTCAAAATGAGACTGTAACTCATGTAATTAACACTTCAAAAGTCAACTTCATTCATGCACTTCAATTTATAAGGTTTTAGGATTTTCACCCCGGACACTCCGATCAACTTTGTTTTCTATGGAGTACATCCCCCATCTCCTCCCAAATAAAGATGCATATACAATGTATTTAAACATGTAATCACCTATGGAGTACATCCCTTATCTCCTCCCAAACAAAATACATACAAGCACATGTGGAGTACATCCCCCATCTCCTCCCAAACAAAGAATACATATACAATGTATTTAAACATATAACCAAATACGGAGTACATCACCTATCTCCTTCCAAACAAAGAATACATATATAATGTATTTAAGCATATAACCACACATGGAGTACATCCCCTATCTCCTCCCAAACAAAGAACACATATACAATGTATTTAAACATATAATCAAGTACGGAGTACATCCCCTATCTCCTCCCAAATAAGATACATATACAATGTATTAAAGCAAATAAGCACATCTGGAGTACATCCCCCATCTCCTCTCAAACAAGAATACATATACAATGTATTAAACTCATCATCTTATACCATGGTCAATTAAGGCACATATTCAATGTGTTCTTTCCACTATCATAATCAATGACATATTTCAAGTGATTAGTTTCAGTTTGCCTAATCATCATGCAATTCTACAACAATCAAGACTATCCTCCACCGGTAGCCCAAGCAGTTATTTCTAAACAGATAAATAAATTTACCAAACAGATAAATGATCACATTTTCCATAGATGAGTGATTTATCAAACCAATTACACCAATCAGTCCCAATTCTATCCAATTTCATGATGTTCAAAACAATCTCATATTCCTCACAATTACCAAATTAATTACACAAATTAATTATTTAAATTCAATTTGGGCATTTTCTCTCTTTTCTCAAACATCGATCCTAAGACCAAATCTTACCTATCAAAACCCATAAAACGTCATTTTAAGACGTCATATACTTATGGAGCTGAAAACGCAAAACCCCTCTTTAATATAACACAAACCTCAAACCTTGGCTTCCCAAATCACGAAATTCCAACATCTATACTAAATGATCAATATTTATGTTAAAACGCATAAAAAGGAGTAGATCATCCCTACTTCAAAGTTAGGAGCTCAAAAGAGATGAAGAGAAAAACCCAAGATGCTTTAAACACGAGATTTTTCGAATCAAAAGATAGCCCAAGCCAAGCTCCAACTTTCTTACAAAGGGACTAGGATAGAAGAGCTATAGATCAAGATTATTTGTAGAGAGAAAAGGAGTGTAGAGAGAGAGAGAGAGTCGGATCTAGGGTTTGGAAGTGAAAAGAGATGAAAAAGTGAGGGAGAAACACGCTACTGCAACTGATATACTCGAGGCTCGCTCGAGCGAAGGAGTGGTCACTCGAGCGACCAGACACAGACAAACCTCGCTCGAGCGCACAAAGCCTCACTCGAGCGAACAACACGAAGCTTCAGGTGTGCAACCCAGAAGCACGCTCGAGCGAAGGACTGCTCGCTCGAGCGAAGAAACTCAAAACATAGGGATCGCTCGCTTGAGCGAAGAAAAGCTCGCTCGAACCAAGAATGACAACCTTCAGGTCCAAACTGGATGCAGACGCACGCTCGAGCGCAAGAGATCTTGCTCGAGCGAAGAGACACAAAACCAAGGCTCGTTCGAGCGACAAAAGTCTCGCTCAAACAAAGGAACAAAGACCTGGATAGCAACCATATATTCCAACACCCAACCAACCTATTCCAATCTTACCCAACACATCCCAAAACTCAAATGCAAAGTGTAAAAGGATGGAAACAAGAATAAGACAACAACCACAACCACTAGACTCGAGTCCGAAATATAATACATAATGGGGAAAACCGTGATCGCTATAACCTCCCCCCCTTAAAGAATTTCATCCCCGAAATTAGCTATACAAGTTTCAAAATTGTAATCTTTTCAATACTCACATGATTATAATACAACAGTTATCAACATGATCCTCTACTAATCATTCCATCTCTTTTCAAGAGAACAACTTCACAAACATAGCTCAATAGGCATTATAAACATGCATTCTTTTGAATTTCAACCAATTTCAACATATATAATTCATGTGTTCCAAAACACTTTCAATGCTTATAACATACTTACATTTCCGAAATACATTCAACATATACCATGCTTCAAAATTTCAAACATATACAATGTTTCTACATTTGATACAACGCGTACAATATTCCATATTCTCAAGTCATACATAGTGTTCAACTGAAATCAAGTTCCTGAAGTATCTATAACATATACAATGTTCATAACCACATTTGCACCTCTAAAACATATTCAACATATACTATGTTAAAGTAAACCCTCATTCCCGTATTGTATTCAACAATTACAACGTTTCCCATAGTCCAATACATGGTCAAACATTAACAGACAAGTCCGGGTATTTTTGTCTTGGACCTCTATTCACGCTCCCAAGTTTTTTTCTCAACATCGTGATGTTTCCACAACACTTTAATTAATGGAAGTGTCCTGTTTCACAAGACTTGATAACAATAATAACAGTACGACAACCATAACCAGTACAACGTTCTGAAACCTTCACCACGTCTTGACTACTGAAAATACCAACCCAGTGTTGTGTACCTAATACTCCAACATAGGAAACACGAAATTACTCGTACACAAGGCTTTCGGCAAACCTTCACAAAATGAGTACGTAAAATAAAGCGCGGATAATCAATTCCTAATCCTTGCCAAAGACACACCACAAGTAACCAGCCACTTAAGCTAGGTCAAATCTAATTCCTCATGAGATACTCTGTTTAGGTTAATGAAATTGCTTTAATTATTTCATTTGTTTCAAAGCACTCGATTTTTTTTAATTTATTTTTTTTTATTTTAATAATAAGGTGTTCAGACTTACACCGCCATAATGTAAACACCACATTAACAACTGGCCACCGCCGAACCAAAAGATTTTCAAATTATTTTCCCGAAAATAATGGTCGTAATTTACGTTCCGGTCCAAAACCACTTTAGTTTATGAAGAGTACCCAATTTGTGGTCTTCCTCCAAATTTTCATCAACAAAGTTATTCCACAAAACCCATCACACTCACGGTGATGACACAACACCCAAAACAAAATTTCCGTGGTGAGGATCCCTCTAAATTTTGAAATGCTTACCACACAACAATACCAGGGAGGAAATTGCACGCCCCCTAATCACGAAATAACGTAAGCGCTTACAAGGTCGAAGTCCTCAACCAAAATTCAAAACCGACTACTATAGCTTAACATAACCTTCTAACTGCCCATGTGGAAGTCACGCCCCACATCAAGACACTTTGATTTTCCCATTCACCCCTCACATGTATGCCTACATGGCACACACCTCCTCATTCTAAAAAAAAATACTCACACCCACGTTGACTAGCAAGGCTAACTATGCCACAACATCTCTTGTTACTACACGACCGCTCGAACCGAACACATGCCAACATAGCACCTTCATCCCTCAATGACCTACAAGGTCAACTCTTTATTCCACATTCTATTTGTCACTCGTCCCGAGAGTACAATCAAAATATTAAGCCTTCGTGTCAAACCACTATCCATCGTCACTACTGAACAACCACTAGGAACCAAACTCTGGCACAATCGCATGTCACCAACAAGGCTTTCAAAGATTCACCATCCTAACTCTCCAAAAGAGTAAAAGTCCTCACCCTCCTCGCTATTATACCAAACCTCCATCCGCGAACACCATACCACTGTGACTCTACTCACGGGTCACACCCTAACCACGGGATATACACCCAATCAACCCTTCCGATTGCATCTCCTGACCTAACCAGTGTTAAGGTACATACCTATCGCATTCAAACATAATAAAAAAGTCCTGAAACTTAGGAAAAATCCATTATACTACTGCCCGAGATATAACACTAGCTGCTCACAACACACCACTCCCCGATGCCAACAACCATAATCTTAATAAGGGACTAACACTCCCTCAAATAAAACAACTAATCAGTACGTATACAGATTCGACAACGTTACCCACCATGAAGGTACAAGTCTATTCCTAACGAAATTATGTGATATGCCTCCGTAAAACATCACGTTAAATATACAAAATCTAGTGTTAATCGCACACTTCACATCCTCTCGAGGAGTTCTCACGACAGTAGACCAAAATTTCTACCACGCACATAACATCAAATAGGTAACACCCTTGAAATTCTGCACACCCGGCAAGTATAACTATTCTTGCCCTATAGTAATCCTAACCAGGATATGCATCCCTCAATAATTCTTCCTAATTTCAAAACAGGGCTCACCAACCCTCATTTTTCTAAACCAAATCACACGCATACAAATGCATTATTACAAAAATTTTATGGTTTCACAACAACTTATTACATTAAATAAACTTTAGAGTCACAACATGCTCCAATCTGCCCAACCCATGGAAATCAACAAACACAGACATATATATATATATATATATATATAAACAAGCAGTTTTGATGTTTCAACATTCCCAAAACACATTGGTTACACAACAGAACCCAATGATTACAAAACGATAATTCACCGGTTACAAAACAGATTAGTCAAAACAAACCCATTCCATCGGTATTACCATTGTTACCGTCCCCTGTTAGACCGCCAAAGTTGGTCATTCTCAAACCCAAGA